AAACAGTTGTCAAAACTTCCTTACACGGGAGAAAAACCGTAAATTTTGACAGTGTCGAAGAATAAAATATCTTTGAAACGGTCCATTTTAGGGGTATTAGAGGTTATGCGTTTTTTATTCGAAACTGATTACTCTATCTATTTGTTCAATAAAAAATTGGTGTTAAGAGAGCAATAAAATGGAAAAACACAGAAAATGTGACCTGCAACTGCTGGAACTGGAAATTGAGTGGATGTATCCGGTTTTCGTGATTACCAGTTCAAAAGGTATGTTGTCATAGGGAAATGTTCCAAATTTTATAATATTTGGTCAAATAGTTCCAAAGTTATTACTAAAAAATCAAATTTCCATACCCACATTCCGAGGGCTGTAAAATTCTTATCAGTAGAAAGTTATTACAAAAAAATCAAATTTCCATACCCACATTCCGAGGGCTGTAAAATTCTTATCAGTAGAGATAGGAAACGAGTTATTATTTAAATTAACATCATTTTATGGGTCATTTTTGAGGTTCAAATATTGCTTCACATTTATGAATAACCCTGTATAGATAAACGGACATTTATGGTTTGTTGGAGAGATATGTATTTGTATTTAAATTCACCCAAATGTGATTAATTTTTATTTACAGTTTGATCATTCTACATAACGCAACTACAAATAAAAAAATGAAATAATATTTACGAATCAAACAAATTTGTCACTTGGTAAATTAAAGTTTTAGAACAAGACCACCTAAATATGGGTAGGTTAAAATTTTGTTTATCTTAATACGTGAAATTATTTTTTTTATTTCAGATGAAACTTTTATGCTAAAGCATATTATTGAGGAGATAGTGATTCCACCTGAACGTCACCACCTCCCAGACCTTGCTTATATATGTGGCGGAGATCTCGACGGGGATCAATTAGGCTATATAAGAGTATTACCATATTTAAATTTCGAAGATATAATATGTAATAGAACACTTATTATTATTGATGTATGGAAATTGTATTAAGTAGATAATCAATAAAAAACTTTATAAAAAATAATTCTTTTATTTTAATTTACAAACTTTCTTATAACTTGATGAAGTATCAGCAAACAAAGGGTTTTTAATACATAATGGGCACCAAAATAATTCATACTTAACATGATTTGCAAAAGAGTAGTTCTTATTGTAGCATATTCATATACATGTTTAAATGAAAAAGTACATAGGTCTTTTACATTTTTATGTAAATCTTTATAAAAAGTATAATATTCAATACCTACAGTAACGAAATTTTTTGTTTTGTTTTTAAGTTTTTATAATTTCGTTTTAAACACATTAAACGCATTGTATTCAAAAAAGAAAAATACATTTCATAAAAAGCCGTTTCAAACATGATATGCAAAAAAAATGTCATCATCAATACATTTATCATACTCCAATCAATTTCTTGTTATTACGTACATTAAGAAAGGTCTTGTCTGGTCGTATTAAAAAGGTTTTCCCTTAAATTATCCAAGAGGACTGCATCCTATTTCACGTTTGAAATTTCAGGTTCTCGAAGACGGCCTTCTAGTCAGGGTCCAGTCTTGTTTCCATCTCTTCTTTCCTCGTAGAACAGTGCTTTTATTAATACTCTCATAAGAAGTAGCAATACTCCTTATCGTCCACCCATCCTCTAATTTGGAAAAGATCAAAACTTTTTCTTTCTATCAGTCTTTCTGCAGTCGAGGCATTTTGACTTTTCAAATTTAAATGTCAGCGTTGATTAACTACAATCCTGATTTAATATAGCGAAAAATAGGTGTACGCGAAAGTTTTGAAAGCAAGTGTATACTAATACTAAGTAAGATAAGATATCAGGACTATGGAAAAATTGTTATTTGTATTACAAGGGAAGAAAAGACACTTTCCTCCAGTGTAAAACACATAATTTTTCCTACGATCCAGCAAAAAAAACTTCAAAAACAACATTTTTTTTGATATGCTACGCAACCCGGGAAGGCTATAAAAAACCTTAAATCATAAAAATTTTAAATTGAAAATTTTTTGTAAATTATTACTACTAGTAAGGCCCCTTCATAACACTTTGTTTTTATAATACTTTTTCCTTGATTCTAATGTCTATTTAAAAAGCAAATTTTTTTTCACTACAACTGTAACATACAGGCTGCGCCAGAACTGGCGCCCCAGAGAAAAATGTCAAATGCCAGCGGCAATAGGTCGCCAAAAAGTGCAGCCGAAGAAGTAACTTTTGCTCGCATAAGAAAGTTGCGAGACTCTTAATTCCACCAATCCCAGAAGGACACCAGAGTCTGATTGAAAAATTATATCTGTTGTTAGGTTACAAAAATGATACCAATTTGTCTAAAAGTTTCAAATAATAGCTGGACTACTGTAATTTGGACATTTATTAATTTTCTGTCATGTTTTTGACATAACACGCTATTTTCGAAAATTTTTCTCGCTGAAGATGCTGTGCACAAGCTAATGAGCTAATTATAACATAAAATACGTTTGAGGTTTCATCCCCTAGTCACTAACCACCCTTACTTTAAAATTTTAAAAAGCACCCCCAACTTTTTGAAACATTTTTGGAAAGGGGGGAAAAAGCTTATCTAACCGTAAATAAAAAAATATTCCAAAATTCCAAAACAAAAAAAATTAAAACTTTTATTCCGGTTAAGACGTCACACTTTTAAAGTACTTTATCATTCATCAACTAGTTTTTTTTAATAAATAGTTTCAACAAAAACGTTTGGTTCCATACTTTTTATTCATGTCTCTCTAAATGCTTTAAAATTATGTTTTGTTTTAAAAATAAATAGTTATTTTCTTAGTTCTGTTGCAAATTTAATGCCAAAAGCACAAACAGATTGTCACTTGTAAAATTAAAATGAATTATTTTTCTTATCATTTTTTTTTTATATTAAATTAAATAGGTAGGTAGGTATATTAAAAAATACACAATTCAGGTTACAAAATGTATGTTTAAATAAAAGAAAAGTAAGTAATAGTAAAATATAGGAATAAAATATGCATTACTCTTGAAAATTGCACAATTTGGTTATTTTTAATTACCATTATGTTTTTTACAAAAACAAATAAACAAAAAAATATATAATAATAAATAAAAAATATATAAAAATACATCAAAGATAAATTCAAACATTGTTTACTAATGTGCAAAATCTTATTTTTCTATTTTTAACACAAAGATGTTTTGATTTGAGTTAAAGAAAGTATTTTCTAAACTTTGCAAAAAATGAAAATGTTAATTTGACAACACTGCACCGAAATCTGCAAAGTGGTGGTGGTGTTATAGTATTTATACAGGGTGCGCCAAAACTCGCGCCCCAGAGAAAAATGCCATATAAGGTAAGATGCCAGGAACATGGAAAAAATATTAAAAAAATTTTATCTATCAAAATTTCGAAGTTATGAGGGTTTAAAGTTTGCACTTTGACTCTATTTATTTCTGTTGGAAAAATAATTGTCCAAGTTTTTTTGGTCTAGGCTATTAAAAGAGAAAACAAGGAAGCTGTATACTAAATTGTAACTCTGTTCAATGTTATTTGCGGCTTTTATTGGCAAAATTTTTGTCCCTTTACTAAATAATTGTAAAAAAACATATACAAAATCATCAGTATCATTAAATAGATATAAAAAAATGTCTGGCGCACCCTGTATAATAACACAAATACAAATATGGAAAAAATATACATACCACGTGAAAAGAAAGTATGGAAGTGAACGTTTTATGCTTAAACTATTCATTCTTTGAAAAAAAAATAATTGATGAATGATAAAGCAATTTTTCATTTTTTTGTTTTGGAGTATTGCATAACTTTTAATTTTTTCAAATCGCAACCAACTATAAAATACTTTTTTCTTCCAAAAGCTATGATTTAAAGGTTAAAAAATTTACATTGTATTTAATTTTCATAAAAAAAATTCACATAAGTTGCCATTTTGAAAAAAAATCAAAACTCAAAAACAAAACAAAACAGACAATTGATTAAAAAATTAAAAACAAAAGTTTGGTTCCAGAATTTTTGTTCACTTTGTGAACCTACATGATCAATAAAAAATCTTTCCATATCTACTCTGTCTCTAGGAGTTTTTGAATAAAAAAAAATGGTAGTTGCATCATTATTATTTATTAAAAATTTGTTAATTGCCAAAACCCATATTTATGCTTTTTATAACTATTTTTATCTTTTTACGTCTTCTTTAAAAAACTTTATTCCCTTTATAGGGTTTAAAACCAACCTTATAATTGATCATTTTAAGCAGGGTATTTCACGAGTGATAATGAGCCTGACGGAATTGAAAATACAACCCACAATACATTTGCACAGTTAACGTGGATATTTTAGATTGAAAAACCAATTATGAATCCACGATAACATTGCTTCGATAATTTTATTTGTCACAAATTATCAAAATTTCAAAATGCATTGGAACGATGAGAAAACATCTGATTCTCATTTTGGCGAATTTGGAAAAAAAGCTTCTGCCGTTGAACCTTTGTAAAGATAATGTTTCCTGTATAGAAAAGCTCCAAAAATGCTTGAATCTCTTAAGTGTTTTCCAATGGTAGATAAACATTAACCTTAAAAATTGTGTTTCCTGTCTTGTTAATTTCTTTGTGTCAGTCACGCGATAACTATGTTTTATTAATTTTAAAATTCATAATCAAAATCCATGAAACCTATGCAGATGTATTGCTGACTGCAGTATGGTGATAATGAGCATACCCTGTATGCAATATTTTATTACACTTGCACTGAATTTTGTTATATCTTTGGCAACGCTGTCAAACACAGGTGACAAAAAACCAAATTCGGATGGTGATTGTATGTTTTTAGAATATTTGGAGTGCAATTTCTGTAATAAGATTTCTGTCCATGTGATTATTTTGGCGCCAACTTCAAACAAGAACTGCAACTGCAAAATTCTCTTAAGTTATCATTATCAAGAAATGTGATCGATCATGGTGTGTTGCATACCTGAACTGGATACCAGGAAACGGGAAACAATAAAACAAATAGTCTTCAACTTTTTGAATTTTATGCAACTCAGACTCAAACACGTTGACAATTCAATAATCTGAATACAACGCCGTCAATTCATAAAACAACCAATCTTAACTCCTCCCTCTCTGACATCAACTCTTTAGTACATTATTCGGTATATTTTTAGACGCCCTGAAACAAACTTAATAACTCCAACTCCATTTTAATATTTGACCTTACTTAAGACAATCATTATGTGTTTTGTACTCCATGGTGGCACTCGCCGGAATATTAAGCAGTCTTTTCAGCGCATCCCTAATCCTGGCCGTCGTCGCTTGATCCGCTGCTGTTCTGTTCCATATACTCAAGAGATATTCCTGATACCTGGTGGAGACCACCACACCGCAGATCTCGTTTCCGGCCATAAACTGCTCGCCGAGCATTGCCATGCATAAGTTTTCCCACGCGCGACCCGCTTGCTCCTTCCGTAGACGGATCACCCATTTGCCGCCCTTTTTATTGGCGGCGTCCTCCCACATGGGCTTGATGCCCTTCTTGAAGAGGTGCAGATCGCGGTGGGCCGGGATGTCCTGCAAACGGACGATGTGTGTGTACAGAGCCCACCACTGCTCCACGGTGCCCACCTAAGACAAATATTTCTATTAAAAATTAATTAATCAATAATAGCAAAAAAAATGTTCCTCATTTGCGTGCGTCAACAGTCTAGTGTATTTTATGGTTTTAATGTTAGTGACCTTGAAAGTGAATTGCTTTCAATATTTTTTACCAGTTTTCCAAATTTTTGGTGACGTACACTTGAGTGCAAAAAAACGTAAATTGATTTTTTTTATAATGTAATTTGGCCTGTTAATAAATGCCAGTTTTTTGACGTTGTCTTTCTCACAATTCACAATTTCATAATTGTCAGGCATCTTCCAAACTGCTATTAAGTTTTTCCATTTCGTTTTTAACACTATGACACTGCACTGCCACCAAATACAACATTTCTTTTGATAGTTTTCTAACCTTTTTGGATACAACCTTTTTCACACTATGTAAATCTCTGAAAAATTAGACAATTTTGTTTTTGACAATTTGCGGTTTTTTTTTTGCAATAAAGTGTACATGAAAAATCTTGAAAATTTCTAAATTAAGCACAATGACAAGTGTGAGTTCCAGTTGAATTTTTTAATGGCTTCTTCTTCTTCCTCCCGGAGAAATGACCTTATCTGCCAGGCTACGTTGCCATTTTCCAACGGCTTTATGACACTATACAAGATGTTTCAGAACTCGTGCCCCAGAGAAAAATTTCAAGTAACATAAGATACCACTGAAAAAATTCTATCTGTCAAAAAATGTTGAGATTTATTTTTTATGTCGATTTAATGAAAATGAATAAAAGCAGCAAATAATAACATTAAACAGAGTTACAATTTAGAATACAGCTTCCATGTTTCCTCTTGTAATAGCCTATATCAAAAAAACTTGGAAAATTATTTTTCCAACAGAAATAAATAGAGTCAAAGTGCAAAATTTAAACTCCCATAATTTTTTCCCATAACATTTTTTCTGTTTTAGGTATCTTACCTTACATGGCAATTTTTCTCTAAGGCGCGAGATCTGAAACAACCTGTATACGTATCACCAACTGTCGCAAAAGTTTCTTTTTTTCTTTAAAATTTAAAAACAGCATAAAAAATTCAAAATAAAAAAATTGTATAAAAGACTCGTTACACAAGACCATTCAAGCAATCGTTTGTTAATAAACTCGCAGCTACGCGGCTCGTATCGAAATTTCTTTTTGAAAACTTTTTGTGTAAATAGTGTAAAACCAAAATGGTTTTCTTAGAGATAAAGAAAATAAAAAACTGAAGGGCGCTTTTTAAAGTTTCAACGGCTTACATGAATTTCCCTTTAACTAAATTTGCATTAAAAATAAGAATGTGTTAATAACAATTTTAATATCTAAATTTAATATCATTTACGAGGAATAATGAGTCTGACCAAATTCTTGTATAAGGTGAACAAAAAGTATAGAACCAAGTGGCCTTTTTTAATTATTAGATTTAAAATTAATTAGAGTGCAATTAAAAATGTGATCATGTTTTGAACTTTGTTTTTAAAATTGAATAAAATCTAGATAGTTGTAATTTCTAGGTCTAGATCATAGTGTTTGTAAAATAAGTTTTACAAGGTTTGATATTTAAAAAAAATTAAAAGTTTAACAAAACTCGGAAGCTAAAAGAAATTTAGAACAAATTTATACTTTTATAAAAATAATCACATTTTTTTAGTATTTGATAATGTACTAATTATTTTTTCGTAAAGTAGTTAGTTTATGCCAAAAGATTAGATTGTAGATACAAATCATACGATTTAATATTCTCATTTGTATAATTTAACTTTCAGAAAGAACAATTTCGAAGCAATTAATGCAAAAAAAATACAAAAACAAACATAATTTTATTATTATGCAGATAGGTTGCTGTACCTAGTAACTTTGTCATTAAAAACTGGACAGGCTGATATCTGCAGTAAATTTTCTTTATAGAATATACCAATAATTAAATTTTTATAACCCTCTAAAACTATAAAATTGCACAGGTTATCAGTACAACAATACAGGTGCGCCAGAACTCGCGGCCCAGAGAAAAATGTCATATAAGGTAAGATACCAAGGACATGGAAAATGTTAAAAAAAAATTATCTATAAAAATTTCGAAGTTATGAGAGTTTAAATTTTGCACTTTGAATCTATTTATTTCTGTTGGAAAAATAATTTTCCAAGTTTTTTTGCTACAGGCTATTAGAAGAGGAAACAAGAAAGCTGTATCCTAAATGATAACTTTGTTTAATGTTATTTGTGGTTTTTTATTGGCAAAATTTTTGTACCTTCACTAAATAATTATAAAAAACATATACAAGATATAGCATCATTAAATAGACATAAAAAAATGTTAAATGTCAAAATTTTTTGACAGATAGAATTTTTTCCATGTTCCTTGTATCTTATCTTACTTGATTTTTTTCCCTGGGGCGCGAGTTCTGACATACCCCCCGTATTTTGTATTAGAAATAAATAAAAAATCATTGAAATATGATTCTTAAATAAAAGTAGTCCTAACAAAATTTTTGTGATGACCTGAATAGTTTCGTAAGACCAATATTAAAGGCGAATTTTTAATTATTATTTTTAGATCCTTCCCTATTGCGTTTGATTTCTAGAGAAAGTCTCATCTACGATCTTCTTAAGATTAATAAGATTTCTTAAAATGCTTTCGTACACCACCCATAAATTTTATTTTTCACACAGATTTGAAAACAGATCTCGGGTCAGACCATCTTTAAAGTAAAATTTTTTCTAGTCAAATATAAGATACCTACACCAGCGAAGACCACCTTAGTAAATATTTTGTTCGTTGATAAAGTTACTTTAAAGTTAAATCAATAACAAATTGAGGGTAAGTAATGTGAAAAATATGCAGTACATTATTCAAGGACTAAGTAAGAGTTTCTCTAAAGTAGAATACACAATTTTTTCTACTATCATTAAAAGCAGTATGTTACAACTATATGGACAGTTTAACACAGAGACACTCTGTATAAACCTAAAATGCTTCAAATAAATATCTACAAATATGAATGAATTTACAGTTTTCTATACTATTCTTGATTACAAATTATAAAAGCCTTTACCAACCTGTCCCACCAGCCGCAAAGCCTGGCTATAGCCTTGTGAGCCCTGCACCTGTGACGGCCTCTTGGAGAACCACAAACAGTACGGATGTTGTAATCGATGTTCACCAGGAGGATACTCGATAGCTCCCAAATCAGTTATGTAGGGCCCCACTTCGTCGTCACCACTGCCACTGTCCGAGTTTTCCGCGTGGTGTTTCAAGCTGGCCACCAAACAAAATAAACATCGAACAATGAATGAAATAATAGACACTTACGGTTCGTATTTGTTTGACATGGTGCCGGTTGTGGGGGGGTTATTTACGTTATATACCATCAAATTAACTATCACAGAACTTTTCTATAGCTTTAAATCACTTTTTTAAAAGCTGAGTGGTCTAATCAACTGACACTTTTTATTAACCTTGTTTTCCAGGGGTACCAATACTTGTTAGGGAATCTTTTGACGTTTATTTTCATTTTGAGGGAATTTAAGGCAGGGAAAGTTTGGTAACGAAAAGATGATAACATGAGAAATGTACCGAAAATATTTAAACAAAGAATTTAGTAATAAAGAGCAACACAACATGAATATTATTTGTTTGTTTGGCGTGGTGATGTTGGCTACATGAATGTCGGTACAAATAGAAAATTTCCCGCTAAATTCAAAATAATTAAATATTTACACGTGTCAAACAATTACAAAATTTATTATATATTTCAGGAAAATAATAACAATAATAATAATTTTCCGTTAACTTAAAAAAATGGCAATTATTTTGCACACCAAAAGTATTCAAACTATTAATATTTTTTTATACAATGAGTGGCAAAATTATGGAATAAACTTGTTATAGCTTGTTCCAAATCTGGTGGCGAACTGACGTTGTCAAAAATGATTGAATTTTGACACTAAACATGTGTTTACTATTAAAAAAAAATATTGTTCATAGGCGTCGTATGAAATAATATTTTAAAACTACTGTTATTCTTTAAAAAATTATAATAAGTAGTCTAACCTTACAGTTTGTATTCAATGGCGGCATTTCAAAATGCTCTAGAAAAATTCAAATTTGAGCGGGAGAATTGCTCATGACGTGTGATCGGAGTAGTTTTGGACCCTTTTTAAAATAAGATAACCCTACGTTGTTGTTGTTAGTTTGTTCGTAATAATCCTTCGTCGTTTCTTCGAAGCACTGAACAAACGGATGGGAGTAAAATTAAATAATCAAGAAATAAAACACTAATGTTTTATTAATATGAAGTATAATTCAACAATTAAATAAAACAACAATAGGAAATTTGCTGGTAATGAATTTATCAAATAAATTATGTCACAACAAAAAAAACTCGAACAATTAATAAATACATTCTGAAAAACAAATCAAGGTATTCTAATGAAACAGTTTCTTTTCTTTTTTACTGTGAAAACCTCGAATCCAATGTACCAAAAATCTACAACACAATTTCCGATACCGCTGTATCGAAGGAGAAAGGAAGAAAAACATATATCAAGGACTCTCAATCAATCAAACAATCGCGTCTCGAAACCCTACAACTCTGTCGAGTCGACAATGGTATTGTACCTATGGTCTCTTTAGTGGGCAAAAACCGTCCTTTTTCGACAAGCTCCTCTTTTGTGCCCTGTGTACGTGGAAGCGTTATTACTTATCAGCTACCYGGACTTTGCTGATATGATTGCCCAATTAAAGGAGAGTAAAGAACAGTAAAAGACAGAWCGCAATGCAGCATGCATGAAACCAGGAGAAGCTACAGAAGTTTTACTTTTCATCTCGCGTTACATAAAACAAACCCGAAAACTTAATCTTTTACCAGACGAATTATCCACTTACAGAACTCATGGCAAATTAACAACAATCATGATTATTATGAAGAAAACAARYTTTTKGGCACAATTTTCACGTAATATCGATACAGAATTTARGTTTTTGGTGACGTAATTAGTCATACCCCCTGTCGCGTCCGGTCTCATCTTCCTGAGCCCCACGGTCTCCTCTGCAGCCTCCTCCAAGCGACGACGCTTCCTTCTCTTCCTCGATGGAAGACCCCCGGGTGTAGTCGACATCCCAACAATTTCCAAAATTTAATTCAAAAAGGAAAAACAACAAAATTCTCCTCACTCTTCGCCTGCCCAACGACGACTACCACACCTTCCTTTGTTTTCCCACTTTTCGAAAACCCCAAAAAAAACAAAATCCCCCCTTTCCCACTGTGGCGTGATCCGTCACCGCAGAGTCAAATAAAATTTTCAAAAATGCATAGGCAACACATTTTACCGAATAATTAAATACAAATGGTACGGTTACAGTAGGTACTCGTACATCATAAGATGAAGAATGATGAACGAATTATTAAATTTTTAACGCATGGAAAGAATTTTCAAAAATGATATTCTTAACAATCCTTGTCTTCAAAATTTTTAGAGAAAAAAAGTACTCCCATGTATTTTTTTATCTTAACCAAGTGGGCGCACTCCAAGTGTCTTTTCTGTCACTGTCAGTTCGCCACCAGATATACCACCAGAATGAGCTCTAAAACTGAAAATATTTTGTTTTGACAAAAATTCTCAATCTTTAAGGAAGGACGTCATTGACGTTTTTTTTTTTTTTAATGGAAACGACTAATTTTTTTTAGCAAATTCGATAAATTTTTTAATTTAAAAAATGACAAAAACAAAATAATAAATACTACATAAAGTTTCGGAAAAAAATCATCCAAAAAGTAAAATAACATCAACAAAACACAAACATACAATTTTAAATCAAGTTAAAAATTTTGTATTTCTTAAAAAGAAAATTGACCTGTTCGAGCATTTTTGTCAAAACAAAATATTTTCAGTTTTAATAAACAAGATTATTTCATAATTTTGCCGCTTATTGTACGAAGTGATTCAGAAAGATTGAGTCTGTTGGTAACAGATTTGAATGTATTTTTGTTAATAATTTGAAACACTGCAACCGGATACGGTTTTGCTTGACAAATACTGGACGTACCTACAGTTACGGAATTAAAATTTCGGGCAGTATTTTTCTGTCACTTCAAAAAGTTTACTGTAAACTACCTTTTACTGTCATCATGACTGACATTTGACAATTAAACTTTTCTGTCGGTGACGCTATTTTTTAAGTCCAAATGATATAAACATGACAAGATTAAAAAATGAGGTTATTAATGTAAACGTTGTTTCAGAGTTTACATTATGAAAATGACAATACTGCCCGAAATTTTAATTCCGCAATTGTTGTTAATCAAAAGTTTACTCCAATGGTAACCTTTAAAAATTATAGACAGAATTGCCAACAGATTCAGTCATTGTGGATCACTTTGTATAAAAAAGCATCTAAGTTAATTTTTTTTGTCAAAAAAGTAATTTATGTAAACTTTTTTTTTTTAAAAATTTAATATGTACAAAGTGTATAAAGTAGATAATAAATAGTAATTCTTTCTGAAAAAATGGTTTTATAGTGGGTGGCCATTAAAAAAATATTTTTTTTTGTAAAACTCAAAAGCAAAAGAAAATTTCGAAAAATTTTCTCTTTGATAATACATTACCTTTTTATAGTACATACTTTATCATTCATCAATTTCTTTTTTTTAATGAATAGATTAAGCAAAAAACGTTTGGTTTCATAGTTTCTATTCACCTGGTGGGAATGTATGGAAATTAAAAAAAACAAACTACACTACATCAAAAAATTTCAAAATTAACAGAGCTATGGGGGATACATTAGCTGTAAAAATACCTAAAAACATTAGTCTCTCCATCAATATTAGTCAATACGCGGTGGATTTACTAAAGCAACTCAAAAAGTTACTTTTTTCTCTTTTCTTTAAATCAATGTTTAAGGTGAATTTTTTTTTTTTAAATCATGATACTACTGATCATTGGTTCTGAAATATTGATGATCAAAGAGTCAAAGACAAAAGGATTCTTTTTCATTTTCAAGTCAGATATCTCACCGACAAATTGACGTTAAGAGAATATAAAAAAAGCATTCTTATTAAAAGTGAACGAACATACTCTCCGGCCTATTCCCCACGCCCGTGGACCAAAAACAAAAACAAAAAAAATAGATTTTTTTTTCGCGCTATTACGTAGGATTGCGTAAAACCTTAGTCCAGAAAATTTTTTTACCAAAAGATCTTAAAACTAGAAACTTAAAGCTTCACAATTTTTTTAAATCTAGATACGATCATTTTTCGATGAGTTAGAGTCTTCCAAAAATCACCAAAAAATTTAGGAAAATTGTTTGTTCCTTAACTTTTGGTATAGTGTATTTTATTTTCAAACAGTCGCAAATTGCACCTTTGTGTATTCCTCTATAGAAACGGTTGAAGTGGCTTTTTTATAACCGGAAAGTCAAAATCAAAAATAGCAAAAAGGCTGATGCAGAGTCCAAATTTCCGTTTGTGATCCGCTAGAAAATAAAATAGTATATGTCATTCAGAATAGAAGGTATTTTTGTACTTCGCCTACTTAGTTTCACTCGGCGTTCAATCTCTGGGTTTAGCACAAAAAGACTACCCATAATATAATATACTATTTTTGTAAAAAGTTATTAAAAAAAGTTGTTTAGAATCAACATCTAGGTTTCTAAACCAAATTTTAAAATCATCCACCATCTACGATTTTTCTTTTTTTTTGTATAAATTTGTAAGAAATCTTTTTTATTAATAAAAATAAAAAATTCTTCGATTTGTGAAAGAATAAACATAAAACAATGAATAATATCATAATTGGTGTTTATAATGCCAGTTTACATATTTTTATCTTTACAATTTTGATTATAACGTTGCCAAGTTATTAACAATTTTTGCAATTGTTGCAAATTTTGTTGAGTTTTACATGAAATTAGTTTTTGTTAAAATAAGATCGTCATCACTTAATTATCATTTTGGGCAATTTGTTTAATGTTTGTTTTGATAATAAAACATGAACTTTCGTGTACACATTATTATACACACCCAATAAATTTCATATTCACACCTAACTCATTATTCTGTTTTAACCCAATTACTATTTTAATTATCAATTTGCAACGATGGAGAAACCTGGAAACTCGTTTTGTAAAAATGTTCGAACATATTTTCGCGAATATTGCAATTCTACAAGCATTCACGGTTTTCGTTACTTTGGAGAAAAACGAACAATATTTGAAAGGTAAAACAAATCAATTTTTTTATTTAATAACTTTGGAATAATCTTAAGAGTTTGGTGGATTACTGTTTTTTTGATTTGTTTGACTGCTTGCATTTTTTCCATTTATGGAGTTTACAAAAAATGGGATGGAAGTCCGGTGATTGTAAATTTTGCGAATCAGGGAACTCCAATTTATCGAATCCCATTTCCTGCTGTGACAATTTGTCCAGAATCGAAATCAGTGCAGAATTTATTCAGTTATACGAAAATTATGCAAAAGAAGCTTCGACACCGAAATACGACCCAAGACGAGTAAGTAGGTAACTAGTTTAATTTTAAGTTAGAAAAATTGAAATCATTTTTAGAGACCTGAAATTTGAATATATGGCTCTTGTGTGCAAATACCACGAAAAAATTAATTACACAAATCCGAAAACTTTTCCTGATGAATTTCTCGACCTCTTAAATACAATCAAACCAAATTTAATCAAATGGAATTGCATGTATCTGGGAGAAAAATACGATTGTAATCAAATGTTTGTTAAAATTTTAACAGACGAAGGAATTTGTTACACATTTAATATGTTGGATAGGACTGACATATACAGGGATAAAGTGTATGTATAACTCGTGCCATAGCTAACGCCACTTCTGTTACTTTCCACAAGGTTTTTTTTCTGTATGAAGTAGTAACACTTTCTGACTTAAAATTTGTCAGTAGGGTCAGTTGTAACACATATTCTTTTTTTGTGTCAAAAAAGTCCCTTTGAAAAACAAAATTAACCTGTTTAGTTTTTTTTTGCAAATTCTTTCTGGTTAGTTTTTATTAGAACATCCTGTATCTCATGAATAGATCTAATTTAATTTTGGTAAAAAGTTTTGAAAATCTTAATAAAATAGCTTTCATATGATGTGCCACAATTAGGGTGGTGCCTTTTAAATTTTTAAAGTTGGGGTGTGTGGAGGTTAGGGGGTTACTGAGTGTGCAAAAAATATCCCCCTTGGAAACAAAATTGACCTGTTTCAGCGTTTTTGCAAAGTCTTTTTAGTTTCTGAGATATTCGGGGTGGGTCGTTTAAATTGTAACATCCTGTATACTCTACGTCGTTATAAACTAATTCATTTTTAAATGTAAAATTTGTTTTTCTGAATAGGACTTGGTTTAGGTAGATACAAGTAAGTACTAATTCTTTTATTAGAGTTTTTATTTGATAACATGTAAAAA